ACGTTAGCGCCAGAGCTAACATATGACGTTAGCGCCAGAGTTAACATGACGTTAGCGCCAGAGCTAACATATGATGTTGGCGCCAGAGCTAGCATAATCTTCAACGCTAATATATAAATATGGCATTAGCTCCAGAGTTAAAAAACTCGTTTTAGTCTCCACTACAACCCATATCATCATCCCAGAATGCATTGCACAGGTAAAAGAATGGTGACATCCTTAGGTGAAAATATATATACTTTTTTAAAAAGTAATTAGGTTAGTGTTCAGGTGTCATGAACAACTTAGTGGAATAGAGAAACAACATATAAGGCAAGTAGTCGGAGATCCCTTTAAGTCCACAAATTCTATTATTGATCAGTGAGTTTCATGCAGTAATGTACATTTGGTGTAATCGTGGTAATTTGGAAACTGTTAAAGCGTTTAATTTTGTTAAAGACGGGATAAGACTCCACGTGCACCTCAAGTAAAAAATAACTATTGGTCAGATCCCAGCGCTCAAAGCAAAATGTTAAATACTTTTATTCCCACAACACTTCAAAATGTTCTTAAATTTAAAAAAATGTTGAAGCACAGATCACGTTTTAGCTTTTATTGTTCAAACAAAAGCAGACTGGACCGTATCGTAATCACAGTATCATTCAAGCAATATTCTACTTTTTGCTTGCACAATAAAAGCAAAAAAATAAAATAAAATAAGAAGTGAGGTCCAGCTCTCCTTTCGACTTCAGCTATTCAATTTTAAGTATTAAAAACCATAAAAACTCATTTTCTGAGGAAAAAGCGCAACCAGTCCTGCTATGGATCTAAACGTAATATTCGTAACGGTCAGTGAAGGAACATAAAGGACTGTTGATCAAAAATGGAGCGGATCGTGACTTCATTTAATGACTTCCACTCATTAGACCAAGAGCTACTGTCATAAAGTTCACTTAGACGGTTGTACTACTTGATGGTAGTACTATACGAAGTGTGAAATCTGTTGAGCTTCACCTCATTTAATGCTGCATCAGATGCTGTGATCCACGAGACTGAGTCACTTCAGTCAACGCTCTGAACACTGAAAGCTTGAAGGGGACATCTGGCCCCGTTGATCTGCGGTGAGAGGACTGAATGTTCAACGGTCGTGAACTTATTTACCCATGTTATGTAACGGAGATAAAACACCGGAGCTGGATGTAATCGAGTGAGGACTTCACAGCATGCTCTCCTCGTGTGGTTAAAGTCAAACATCTTAGATAGCAGTCCAGGTTAGGTTAGCTCGCTCCAAGCTGACCCACGAATGCCGGTATAGGTAAACCGTGTGCTGGCACCACTTGGGGGAGTGTGACCGTTCTGCTCTGGGTTCCTTGGCCCCGTTTTGGATCTGCCCGCTTCCACTTTGGTGAGTCTGCTTCCAGCCGACCTGCCTGAGCTGCTGCTTGCGCCGTTCCTCTTCCTGAAGCAGCGGCAGCAGGTGAAGGTGGCCAGCATGCCCTGGCGGAAGCGCTTGTTCATGAAGCAGTAGATGATGGGGTTGACGCAGGCCGAGGTGTAGGACAGCAGGTGGATGAAGGAGATGGGAGCGCCCGTCAGACGGTGGGCCGAGCGTTGGTCAAAAGCCTGCCACGCGTTGACCACGAAGATGGGCGTCCAACACAGGAAGAAGAGGAAGACGATGACCAGGAGCATGCGGATCACGCGCTTCTTGGCCATGAGGTTGGATGTAGAGCTGTTGCTGCACACCCGTCCCACCATGGGCGTGCTGGTAGAGTTGGGAAATATGCCTGTAGCCACCGTCAAGCTTTTCCTTTTAGACGGCTGCAAGTAACAGCCATCGCTGTCACCCGGCTTGATGCTGCCGGTGCTGAGTTGTCGGTCTGTCAGAACGGATAATGTGAAGAAGAGAAACCTGAGTGTAAGAGTTCATTCCTAAGAGAACATTGAACATCTCTTGGAAAAGACCAGAACAACATCTCTATTGTCCATGAACATCAAGGCCAAACTCAAACTACATTTGAAAGGCACTTTGTGGAACTGAG